GGTATAGCATCATGGTAGCAAAATCCGGCACTGTGCCGGGAATTGAGGTCAGAGGTCAAAGATCAAATGGACTGAGGGGCAGATTTTAGACATTTCTGAGGACTGGTCTGAAGGAGCGAGTACAAACTCTTATTTGTTGCAGGCGGGCCTATTTTTTGGCTTATTAGCAAAAAGACCATAAATGTACTTCCGCTGACATGCGAACAGAGTAAGTGTCGATAAACTTTTGACACTCAGAGGAGGGTTAAACATGGAGTTTGTCGACAGTTAAACAAGGACACATGAACTGTTTTGCTGATTGTCAGGATGGTGGAGGCTACAGAATTTATCCAGCGACTACAATAATCTCAGCGTCAACAAGTAACCTGCAAGTTGCCAGTAAAACACATCCTAGCTAATCAAATAATTGAAAAAGCGCACGCATGATTGGGCAGTTGTATTGTTATAAACGGTAAAGGTTAAAAGGTTATAAAATGGTTATAAACGTTTGCAACAATATTAAGTGGCTGAAAACGAGAAGAAAAAAAGGCCCTAATAGTGAGAATTACTCAAACCGCACATAATTAAAGTTTGTTTTCTTAAATTAAAATAATATGGCATGTCAATGTTCAGGATAAGTCTTCTAAACTGCATCACGAACTGCGCAAGACGCACAAGCGTTTAAACGATAGGTGCACACAAACTGCCCTTTATGGCAAGTCTGTCGATGCCTGTGGCATCAGGGAAAAATTTTTTTCCTGAGATGGCCGCATGGTAGTGTGCTGCCAAGTCGAAGAACAGTGGCAAAGGTAAATTAGCAAATTTCCTAATTAACATGTATTAAGAAATATGTCTTATCTAATACTTTAATGCATTTGTTCATGTCATGTGACTATAAGACATTTTAAGATGTTAATTACTTTTTGACATCAAGGTGGCTGGAACAACAGACGACAGCGAAGAACTTAGGCTCTGGCGGTTTTGAAGTCACACAGATGTGGTGAGGAGGGCTCAATTTTGCATCGATCGAGAGTCCTTGAAACGAACGTTATCAAGGAAGAGCTTTTCCCACATCCCCGCTCGCAACAGCGACTCTGGTATTACTAACCTTTATTACAATCAACAGCCTATGTAGTGCTAGTGAATTAATTGTTGACCTGGTTGAAATAATGATATGCAAGTAGATAATAACACAGGAGTTAGAACATTAGATAGTATCAGAGATTAGGATTCATAAGTACGTTATTCTTGGGCTTGTCTCTGTACGCTTAATCATTCGTACCTGTTTGTTGGAATTGCAAATTTCTTTACAGAAGCCTGTTATTAACTTGCTGTAATGCATGGCATTGGTCACAAAATCAACTCCTGACTCATATTATCGAACCTCTGATAGTATCCTTAATACCTCTTTCCGTGAGACAGGATGTTAACGACTCCCTATAAACGCCTAAACATAATGGTATGAACAGCTAACCTCAGCTATAATAACATACAAGTAACATAACCACAACAGAATCGCTAGTGTGTCCTAGGCTTAAGCTAGCTGTGCCTGTCACAGGCCGACACGATAGCACGCCAAGCATGCACTGCGGTGTAAATTTGCACTGATTGTCTGAAAAAAAATGCTATACAAATTTATACCATTGCTATGCAAAGTTTATTTTGTATAGCACATTTGCTATGCAATTTTTTGGCTGGAAATTGTTCCATGAACTGGTAGCTAATTTACGTTAAAAAGTTGTAGTTTTCATTATTAAGAAAGAACATTATTGTTGCTAAAGCCCGGCGCACACGTGAGTAATTTTACTCAAGTAAAATGATGCATGCGTCAAAATACTCACGTGTGCAGAGGATTTTTGTTGAGTATTTTTATTTTGGTGGTTCTTAAGCCAATCTTTCTTCCAATGTCCCCTGCTTCGTCGCTCTCTTCTATCTACGGCAATAGCCATGACGGTGGCCGCAGCATATATTCACGTCGGAGCTGTATGGCTGTAACAATTTGCTGTCTGCTTTTTGACTGTAAATTAATATAGACATAATAGTTTAACATGGCAGCGACAAGTACGTATATCATACATCCCTAGACACACAAGACGAATACAGTCACCAGCTATTCAAGATTCAAGATTCAAAGAAATTTATTTGTGCATAAGATGCATAAGTACAAGTTATATACAATCACACATTAATTATAAATCCATGAACAAAAAACCAAATACAATCATTACTAAATGGACCACGGGGATGGCGAAATACCTGCAGGTCATCAAAGTCAGCTGCCCCTTGCAACTAGAATTAGTTATTATGGAGACGACTGAATATTAAAAAAAAAATATTGATAGACAATGAATGAACAAATGTCTCTAGATATAAACAATTAACGGATGTACATAGAGCTGAAATATGAGTATGAGTGAACGAGACATATTGGAACGCGGACAGACTGGCGAACATTAGCGCATCGAACAAATATTAAATAGACAATTTAGTCAGTACTGTAAGCAATTTTGGTCGAGGATATTTGGATTGGAACATATAAATAATATACAGGAAAACAACAACATAGTTAATTGGTACCCTACAATAAATATGAGTAATTGTAGGAATTATGAGATGCAGAGAGAAGTGAACGAAACTATATATATATAGGCATATGACTGTTTATAGGTAAGGTACAATTTGAGTCAATACAATAGTCAATACACTACAGGGCGTGTGAACCAATAAGTCAACAAAATATATCTCAATAGATTAATCAACAGAGTAACACAATAAAAGTTTTAAATAGTAAGGACAATATAATAGTTAATACAACTCATAGGGTCTATGTCCCCCAGGGGCCAGGGTACTATCGGAGGGTACCCTGGTAACAATGGTTAGGGTTAGGGCTAGGGTTAGGGAGTAGGCGTAGGAGACTCCATAGACTCGTTAGTGGAGTAGGCGAGGTACGGTCCGGCATATTAGATAGTACCAGGGTACGTTCCGATATATCGAACCGTACCCAGGGTACCCTCCGATATAAATCGACCAGGCTCTCCGACTGTTACACGTCGTTAACGTAGTGTTAAGCGAGAAGGGAACTTGTGGCTACCTCCGATAGTACGGTACGGTACCTACCCTGGGGGACATAGACCCTCTCAGCGTTAATACAACACACGCATAAATAACGCTCATAGGGTCTATGTACCCCAGGGTACTGCCGGAACGTACCCTGGACACTATTTGATATGGTTAGGGTTAGGGTTAGGGTTAGGGACTTTGCTTGGAGTGAGATATTGTAGTCGCTGGATAAATTCTGTAGCCTCACATCCACAATAGCAAAAACAGTTCAGTCCTTTGTTAACTGTCTACAAATCCATGTTTAACCCTCCTCTTGAGGGTCAAAAGGTTATCCGACACTTACTCTTCGCATGTCAGCGGAAAGTACATTTTATGGTCTTTTCAATAAAGCCATAAAAATAGGTCACCGCTGAAACAAAAAAGTTTTTCAATCGCTCCTTCAGACCATGTCCTCAGAAAATGTCTAAAATCTGCTCAGTACCCCATTGATCTTTGACCTCTGACCTCCAATTTCGGCACAGTGCCGGATTTTGCTACCATGATGCTATACACCGACTATCACGAGCCTAGGTCGAGCCGTTTAGATTTGTGCCGCAATTCTGCATTTCCTCCCTATACCGTAAGTTAAGTAGGGAATGTTCCACCTTTATTGACCCCTCTTGACCTCTGACCTTTGACCCTCAGCTTCGACATCCCAACTCGTTTTCGGATTACCCCCCCACGTCCCGACTTTCGAATCCGTACGTCGAGCCGTTTAGATTTGTGCCCAACTGTTTAAGGACGCACGGCCGGACGGACACACGCTCGTGCGATTCTACAAGCTGCACCTGACTATGTCAAATGCGTTAAAAACCCACGCCTGCCGCAAAAATAAGGTAAGGCGACACAAGAAGGACGTACTGCACACTTGTTTCTTGGACTCCAGGCCAAAACTTTAGTCATTTCATGTTGAGCTAGTTAAAATAGAACTAACAAAATCTCAGCCCTAATGAAAGTTTAAACAATTTTTATTTTGGCGTTCGTATATCCCACTCCTAATACAGTGTGTGACTGTGTGAGGGTACGAGGTTAGTACAGCAGAAAAGGTCTGTCTCCCTGGGTACTGCCGGAACGTACCCGGGTAACTATCTGATATCGTTATGGTTAGGGTTAAAATATGACTCGTTAGTGGAATAGGTGAGCTACGGTAGGCGAGGTAGATAGTACCAGAGTACGTTCCGGTATACCAAACCGTACCCAGGGTACGTTCTGGCAGTACCCTGGGGGACATATACCCTGTCAGCGTTGGTGCAAGGGTGAGAAAGACACACAACAAACCTACCCATCACCAAATGTTCCAACTGGTGAGCCCTTGACCTCACTGCACACTGTGTCCACGACAGGTGGTAACTTCTGACATAGATACTTGCAGACTTTGGCGAAGCTTGACCAGGGGGTTTCCATGCCCAGAACATGAATTAATGCGGAACAAGCAAGTTCACTGAAGTTCTACAAGAAAGAAAGGATATGGAGTACCACAGCAAGCCTGAATATCATTTACACAAATTGCCATCTTGCACTGAACAAAAAATACGAAATAGGCAAAATGTAAGAACTAACATTTTTCAGGGTGGATTTACATTTGAAGAGATCATACTAAAACAAAAACCTGCAAAAAACTCAGATCCTGTGATTTTAAAACACTAATTATTATATCAGAAATAATATACAGTCAAACTCGCACAAGGCAACAGGGGACATTTATAGTAAGAGTTATGTGAAGTACGACTTATCGGCTAAGTAACATACATCTAAAACAAGTAAAACATATATTGAAAAATTGTACGAGTTGCACAAATTAAAATTAACACACTGTTCTGTGAATATATTGGATGAATGGCTATTTTTAGAACATCGTTACACAATTGACCGTCGCATTCAGTACTGTTTATCGGGGGTGGGGTATATTGGTAGCATAATTTTATATAACGTATGACTTGGACAGTGAAATTTACTTGAAAATACGTTTGTTGCACCGGGAGAATAACTATGACTTACATATTTATACGACTTGCACATATACTTGTAGATTTTTCTAAAGCCATTTTGGAATCAAAACTATTTGGGACTTTTAACTGCAACACATTCGCAGAAAAAGAAATGTCTCTACAAAATAAACGAGAAATTTTTACTACTAATGTAAAAACAAACAAAGATGTTTTACCGTTTCCAAAACCGACTGCACGAACGGTCTGAGAGTAATTGCAATGTCGCCAGCAGTTACCGGTGCATCTGGTACTGTTCGTGACCTTTTAAAAGAATGTCATGGTGATTTGTGCGCAAATATATTAGAAATAAGTAACGCAGAAAAGGTCTATGTCCCCCAGTGTACTGCCGGAACGTACCCTGGTAACTATCTGATATGGTTAGGGTTATGGAGTAGGCGTAGGCGACTCCCTAGACTCGTTAGTGAAATAGGTGAGGTACGGTACGCGAGGTAGATAGTTCCAGGGTACGTTCCGGTATACCAAACCGTACCCAAGGTACGTTCCGGCAGTACCCTGGGAGACATAGACCCTGTCAGCATAAGTAACGTAAACTCTAATTCTTAGTGTACATAGAACAGTAGTTTCAGCAACTCTATGTAATGAATTTATAATGTATAACTCATAATGACTAATTTTGCCACAGTCCATAACATTGTATTTGACAGATATTGCGGTGATACAGTGTATAATCTTAATTGATAAATACATACGCAGTGCATTCACTCCTTTGCTTGCGCTTTTCAACTACTTTTTTTGGGCGTTGGCCAACCAATTTGTTGGCAAACTTGCGCGCAGCAGATCTCAGAGAAATTGTTTCCTGTTGTGACAACTTTGCGGCTTGTATCGGCAAGTATGCCACGAATTTCTGCTATCCTTCTCTCTGAGTACCTGCGCAGCTAGGACACCGTACCTCGGCCAACCTTTAAAATAGAAAATTGTTCAATAATCATGTATTAAAGACATATTCCTATGGTAAAAATGAAAGGCAAATACACTGCAGATAGGAGGACTGTACAAATGTTACAGCGTGTTAGTTAATTTTACACTGAACTTTTATGTTTTGTTTCTCCGAGTGAATATGGTCTCTGGTGTTTTACATACTCATCTTAATCAGGGATAATTACCTGAGTCGGAACGAAGAGTCTCTCTTTCCGTGTTGTTGTAATTATTATGGCGCAGGAAGGCGTCTAGTCTGCAATTTTTGTCTATCTTTAATAACGGAATTTGCACTGTGACTGATCCCCAACTGAAAAAGATTCAGTTTTTCGGTTTTTTTTGTTTTTTATCCTTTCTTTTATTGCGTATTCCAGGTAGGGCAGTATTCGCTGCCACTCTTGTTTCATTAGGCCGTGGAATTGATGACAGCTCATCAGCACTGCCAGAACTCGCGTGAATGGAGAGCTATGCCATAGGATGTTGCTGCCAAGGTGGTCTCTTCGAGCTCATGGTTCTCCTTGCCAAGTACATAAGTAATTGTATTACAGTTGAATAAGTACTACATAAACGTTTACTATTGCTTAAGCATAACTGAAAATACTTGAGCTCCAATGCATTCAGGGGGCAACATGTGTTTAATTGTTACTCGAATCCCGTTCTTTAGCTGCCAGACTGGCTAATCTTCTTACAAGGTTTGTTACTCGTCTGTACTATATTTGAAACAGTGTTGGCTTATTACCTTGATCAATGATGCTGCCCAAAAGCTGCTCATCAAGAACATCAGGCTCTCCTACCAAGTACATACGTAGTTTCAATGTATTACAGTTGAATAAGTAATGCATAAACGTTTACTATTTCTTAAACAATAACAGAAAAGTTAGTTCTTATATACTTCTCTTCTTCGTCTCGCTCTATACTCCTTCTTGAGACTTGAGCCTCCAAGGGCCCTGTGATATAAACGTATGACTTGGACAGTGAAATTTACTTGAAAAATACGTTAGTGCAGCGGAGAATAACTATGACTTATATCATTAAATTATGATTAAAGATCAATGCTGCCATAAGTGAGGGAGAACTGGCTTGCTTGGATGCAGAACCACACCAGCAAAATACTGTCATGAATACACCTATGAGTTGTGACATAATATGCACACAGCTTTAATTCACCTGCTTGTAATCCGCTTTCATTGTTGAAATATATCGCTCTCACACGTCCTATAATTATTCGCTAATTGTTGTAGCACCTAGTCTGAAGTTGTATGACAGTGATCTAAAGGAATTACCTGGAAAAATAATGAAATGCAATACATACTGGTAGCTAATTTAGGTTCAAAAGTTGTTTCATTATTAAGAAAGAACATTATTGTTGCTAAAGCCCGGCGCACACGTGAGTAATTTTACTCAAGTAAAATGATGCATGCGTCAAAATACTCACGGTGTGCAGAGATTTTTGTTGAGTATTTTTATTTTGGTGGTTCTTAAGCAATCTTTCTTCCAATGTCCCCTGCTTCGTCGTCTATCTACGGCAATAGCCATGACGGTGGCCGCAGCATATATTCACGTCGGAGCTGTATGGCTGTAACAATTTGCTGTCTGCTTTTTGACTGTAAATTAATATAGACATAATAGTTTAACATTGGCAGGACAATATAGTATATCATACATCCCTAGACACACCAAGACGAATACAGTCACCCAGCTATTCAGATTCAAGATTCAAAGAAATTTATTTGTGGCATAAGATGCATAAGTAAAAGTTATATACAATCACACATGTAATTATAAATCCATGAAAACAAACCAAATACATCATTACTAAATGGAGGCCACGGGGATGGCGAAATACCTGCGGTCATCCAAAGTCAGCTGGCCGCCTTGCACTAGAATTAGTTATTATGGAGACGACTGAATATTAAAAAAAAAATATTGATAGACAATGAATGAACAAATGTCTCTAGATATAAACAATAACGATGTACATAGAGCTGAAATATGAGTATGAGTGAACGAGACATATGGAAACGCGGACAGACTGGCGAACATTAGCGCATCGAACCAATATATTAAATAGACAATTTAGTCAGTACTGTAAGCAATTTTGGTCGAGGATATTTGGATTGGAACATATAAATAATATACAGGAAAAACAACAACATATTAATTGGTACCGCTACAATAAATATGAGTAAATTGTAGGAATTATGAGATGCAGAGAGAAACGAAACTAATATATATATATATATATATATAGGCATAATGACTGTTTATAGGTAAGCGTACAATTTGAGTCAATACAAATAGTCAATACACTACAGGGCGTGTGAACCAATAAGTCAACAAATATATCTCAATAGATTAATCAACAGAGTAACACAATAAAAGTTTAAATAGTAAGGACAATATAATAGTTAATACAACTCATAGGGTCTATGTCCCCCAGGGGCCAGGGTACTATCGGAGGGTACCCTGGTAACAATTGGTTGGGTTAGGGCTAGGGTTAGGGAGTAGGCGTAGAGAACTCCATAGACTCGTTAGTGGAGTAGGCGAGGTACGGTCCGGCATATTAGATAGTACCAGGTACGTTCCGATATATCGAACCGTACCCAGGGTAGCCTTCGCGATAAAATCGACCAGGCTCTCCGACTGTTAGACGTCGTTAACGTAAGTGTTAAGCGAGAAGGGAACTTGTGGCTTACCGTCCGATAGTAACGGTACGGTACCTACCCTGGGGGGACATAGACCCTCCTAGCGTTAATACAACACACAGCATAAAATAACGCTCATAGGGTCTATGTACGCCCCAGGGTACTGCCGAGAACGTACCCTGGACTACATATTTTGATATGGTAGGGGTTGGGTTAGGGTTTAAGTAGGCAATAGGCGATCCCCAGACTCGTTAGTAGAGCGAGGTACGGTCGGCATATTAGAATATACCAGGGTACGTTCGCGGTATATACCGGACCGTACCCAGCGGTAGCGTTCCAAGCAGTACCACTGGGGCCCATAGACCCTCTCAGAATAAAATAACACACATAGCTAACACAACACAGTATAAAAACATCACGTCAAATATACAAACCCGGGAGCCAGTCAGCCAGTCGCAAGTAAAACTGCTACAGATATATATACTATTAATCCTTCTTTATATGCTCCTTGACCGACATGCGGCCCCCGTTATTCGCGCGCACGCCACAGCTCGCGGCGAAAGCGGCACCCAAGGACGAATAACGCCGCGCTCTTTCGTCCATTTAGACAGATACTTAGACAGGGGTCTGAAAACGAACTGCGCGAAAAACTGGCGGAATCAATGGGACATTTCGGATGGAAGCGTCTAGAGCCATCTCCAACGGCGCCTGACACTTTTGGTGGCTGCGCCTAACTGCTAAGACGTAGTGGGCTCCTACAGAAACCCAAGAAGATGCTCGTCACTCAGCGACCACGCGCTCGGCCTCATGATCTCAGCCGCTAACGCGATGAGTGGCTACTGGCCGGATAAGGCCGTCAGCTCTATGCACAGACCTTTTATAGCGTCGACGCGTACGGCGCTCCAACGTGGGCTGGCCGGTCTAAATGGCTATCTGCAAAACCGCCGCCGTGCGGGCCCCTGAAGCGCGTGTCAGGAGAGCGAGCGCTCGTGCGAAAGGCCGATGAACGAACGCAGCCGCCTCCGTAAACGACACGCGAGCTCCTGCATGTCGCTCGCCTTTGTGCGCTTCGCCTAGATCAAGATGCGGCCCGCCATGGAGGGTTTACTCAGCAGATTTAATCGCGAGAGAAACAAGTACTGTTAAACGCGAATAGCAGACGAAATTGATACAAATTTGAAATTTAGAAGTAAAAGAATGAATGAAAAGCTGAATAAGGTTGAAATACGATTTGGCAAATTGACGTCAGAAATGTAGATTCGCATTCGCCAGATTTTTCGTCGACCATTTTGTAAACAATCGGCACTGAGCGAACAGGCTTTTCAAAACTTGGCGGCGCAAACTGCTCGCGCTCGCGCTCGTCGTCCGCAGTGTCGTTGCAGAACAGGCAAGCACACGAGCGAGCGCAGGCGACGCGTCGTCTCCTGACACGCCTCTTGGCTGCTACGTGGCAACTGTTTCGACGAACCTCCCTGACCACGCGCTGCCCCGCTGCGACGGCAAGTTCGTGCGAGCACCTGCGCCTGGCGTGGCTGCGTGGGCAAACCAGGTCAGCAGTCACCAAAAATACTGTCCTGCTGAGCACTGCAGCCCGAGTATTAAGCGCGAAGCGCGACAACACGCCCTGGTGGTGCATTACAGACAATTCGCTGCCCAATATGTATAACTATATATCCAGAATCCCTTCTGGGAGTAAGGATAAAGCGGGTATGAATCGGGTCATTTCAGCAGTTCTGGCCACTTGCGAGAAGCCACAGTGTCTCTGCAGAAGGGCGAGAATAAATCCAAATGGTCGTATTGTGTTTTTTTTTTTACGCGCGTACGTTTTTTTTCCTATCAAAAACGATTTCTAATTTATTTTATTTAACGCCCTGAAGTTATTCTCGTACATATCGCGGCCCATTAGATCGCGCACCACTAACGAGATCTCTTCGAGGCATTTCGCCAGACAATTTTCGTTAGACTGGCGCGCGATGGAGAAATTTGAGCACGCTGGGCAGTAACTATAGACTTAGTGTAGCGAAAGAGACTTGCCCGAATTAACGTCCGTGCGAGTCTAACCTGGAATCGTGACATCGCGTTTTCATTATCGTAGCCATCTTAGTACGCCGGTGATTGATGGTTGCATCTTGACCCCGCGCTCGCAGCAAGATCAAGCCCGCACGTACAGCACACACTGATGATACCATGCAAATCCTAATCGAGGCGGGAGCGAGTCCTAGTCTATATATAGCCTTCGGATAGGGATATATAACGTATAGTTACCTCGGTATAGTATACGCACCGTACCCCATAGCCCATACAGCTCTCCGTATAATTCCGTGTATTGGGAGACAGAGATTGTGCGCCGAGATTCGGAGCAGCTCTGTTCCCGTAGGTTACGTGTATTCGGAGACAGAGATTGTGCGCCGAGATTGCGAGCACTCTGTCGCCAGTAGTTTACGGTGTATTCGGAGACAGAGATTGTGGCCGAGATTCGGGAGGCAGCTCTTGTTTCGCGTAGGTTAAGCAATGTCGAGCACGAGAGTTGTGGCGCGAGATTCGGAGCAGCTGCTGTTCCCGTAGGTTAGCTATCATTCGGAGATCGGAGATAAATCGCCGAGATTCGAGGCATGTTAGATATTTACGTCATAATCGACATTGTGATGCACCGAAATTCGAGGGCACTACGATAGGTCACAGTATAAGATTAACGGGGAGCACCTAACCTCTAACGGTTGTTTTATAGAGTACTGTTTATGTCTAAGGCGATAGGTAAAAACACTATATATATATTTGTTCATAATAAAGTTTAGGCTAGCACTAAACAAGTTACGCCGCTTCAGTTATTGGTTCTGGAAGTTTTCTGGCTGTCGTTGACATTGTCGGTGTTGGAGTAGAAGACGTGAATACTTAATTCTGACACCGCCGCGCAATCCGCGTCTCGTAAGGGAGCGAGAAATGATCCCACATTTAATATAAAAATGCACCATCGTGCGCATACTCACTGGTGACGACCCTAGGGTCACTACACTACTAGACTACTACGACTAGCAAGAAACGCTCTTTGCTAGGGTTAGAATACCCCAGTGTTGTGGCTAAGTACGTTGAAATCCGTAAAGTATGAATTGTCATAATTTAATTCCTCTGCCTTTCCCTAATAACTTTCTTTATCTGCAAGTTCAAGCACATGTTCTGCTGATGTCTGTTCTATTCCCTTGCCTGCTTAATGCTTAGCTACAGTGTCGATTGCTTGGCGTTTTTCTGTTTCTCCCAGCGCGCAGCGAATGTTTTTGCCGGTGGCGTGCGGCGTGATTTAAGCAAAGCAATGTGTACATAGCACGCTGTGATGCGGTTTAATTAATTTCGACGCGGGCACCGCACTTTGGCGCCGAGGAGACGTTAACTACAATATAAAATGCCACTAACAGTAAACAGTCGGCCGCGTTTCGTTTCTCACGTACTCACGTAGTCACGTAGTCACGTATTCACTCTATATTTCATTATTTTACACTTATAACAATAGAAGAACACATATTTGACATAGAAAATGCAACAGAACATGTATAGGAGCAATAACAACGGTGCTATACAATCAGGAATAAAAAAGGTGCCTGTCCTAACGTGTGTGACAGGTGAGGGGACAGGTACGTGTGGGACAGGTGAGGGGATAGGTACGTGTGGGACAGGTGAGGGGACAGGTACGTGTGGGACAGGTGAGGGGATAGGTACGTGTGGGACAGGTGAGGGGACAGGTGAGGGGACAGGTACGTGTGGGACAGGTGAGGGGGCAGGTACGTGTGGGACAGGTGAGGGACAGGTACGTGTGGGAAGCAGGTGAGGGGACACGTATCGTGTAGGGACAGGTGAAGGGACAGGTAGACGTGTGGACACAGGTGAGGGGACCAGGTACGGAGGGGACAGGTACGTGGGGACAGGTGAGGAGACGGTAGCGTGTGGGACAGGTGAGGGACAGGTACGTGTGGGACAGGTGAGGGGGCAGGTGAGGGGACAGGTACGTGTGGGACAGGTGAGGGGATAGGTACGTGTGGACAGGTGAGGACAGGAGCGCGTGGACAGGTGAGGGGACAGGTTACGTGTGGGACATAGGTGAGGGGACAGGTACGTGTGGGACAGGTGAGGGGACAGGTACGGCGTTTAAATAAAATATAATGCTAACTAAATACGAAATATATTTACTACGAAATTGTTAATGTTTCTAGTATAGGCCTAACGTCTCTGTTGCAGAAGTTGCCGAGGTCCAAAGGCTATATATAGGACTAGGACTCGCTCCCCACCTCGATTAGCCCAATTGAGTGACTAAGCTAAGGCGAGAGGGTGCGAGACGAAGTGCCAGTCTACTGGGCTATAGCGGCGGCAGCGGCGGCACTGCTTCTCCAACTCCCAGTACAGGCCTCGCCGATTGAACGTTGCAAAACGTTGCAGCGTTGGGGCGCGAAGAGCACCGGTAGGTGTTTCGTGATTGTGACAGCCGTTTCCATCACTGGGCAAGGTTCGCGAATCGTCACAATTTCGACAGCTTTCTGTGATTTCGCGTGACACAGCTCGGTTACGAACAGATTACTCGGTTACAGTTTTATAACAAGTGAACACTAGTTCACGTCGCCAAATGTCTACTCCTCTGTGTGCACCCTACTAAAATGGCGGACTGTTTTCGCTGGCAGCTATGGATCCGTCGGCCTGCCATTCAATTCGCGCACGGATCCATAGGCTGCGCAGCGCTGCATACTGTCAGTACGACGTTCCGCGGTGCGTGCGCCTTGCCGCGGAACTGCGCGAAGATCTGCGCCACAGCGCTTGGGATCACATATCCTTTCGGAAACGCTTCCTCTAGTATCCCGTCCTCATCTGGCTGCTGCATCGGCGCGGCTCTGGAGCAGCAAAGCAGAAGCAGCAGGAAATGCCCCTCCCCCAAGGCCGCCGTAGTCAAGCCGGTGTATGTCTGACGAAAACTGCGCGATGTTACGCTTCCCGCTATACGGATTCGCGCGCCCGCCCTCCTATGGCCGCTCATTGTCACTAATACTAATAACACTAATAGTCACAGTGACACAATAATAAAGGAATTATCGAATTACACTCAAAACTTCAATGTTTTCATGGTGAATTGACTGTAAACAAACCTGTAACGTGGAAGTCGCCATTTTGAATGGTCTCTTGATAATTAGTTGCGCGATCTAATCGTCTTGAATCTTGAATCTGGATCGTCGCTTCGACCTCCGCTACGGGAAGCCTTCTAACGATTTATACGACTTTATACGACTTTTATACGACTTGTTTTTGAATCCAAATTATTTGAGACTTTCAACTACAACACATTCGCAGAAATCTACACACATCAAATGCAGATTCCAAGTTTGGTACAACACAATCACAATAATGGCATATAAGCGCCATCTATGATCTACAAGAACGAACAGAAACTATTATTATAAACCTCACCACGTAGATCATTTTCTGATGGGACCACATTCTGCTAACTTCGTATTTATTAGGTGGGTTTGTTTCCGTATTGTGTATGATTGGAATATATGTATGCTAATAGCGACTGCGTAGATCGCTTTTTGATACACGGTGTGAATAGAAGTACGCAAGTATTTATATAGGGCCTATGCCTATACTATACTCTATAGACAGAGGTAGCTCTAGCTAGTACTAACTACTATACTGTCTATAGCCCGCTTACGGCCTAACCAGCGGCCATGCAGTTAATGTAACTTAGCCTGGCCAGCGGCAGTTAATGTAAGCGGGCTATAGTACTAGAGCTAAGACAGAGGCAGACATATAGGACAGAGGCAGGCATATGATGGCCCTGGGGGAAGTCCTAACAATGACTAAACCAAACTCTCCAATTAATATATTATTAATTATACAATTAATGAACTATTTCAAAATGATTGCAATTCCCAAAAATATGGGGAAAAATTGGGCAAATGAAATCATAGACAAAATTGAAGAATATAAATTAAAATTAAATATGTCATTCTTATCTATTGGCGCCTTATCAAAAATGAGATGGAAAAAGATGGTAAAAGAGGCCATTCGAAAAACAGAGTGGCTATAATGCCCGGCAGCCGGCATATATCTGACGGCTGCCGGGCACGGTCTTCGATTTCCCAATTGCCCGGCAGTTTGTAGCTCATCTGACGTAGTCGGATGCAGCTTGTAGAATCGCATGATTGTCCGTCCATCCGTCCGTCAAGAGTTGGGCACAAATCTAAACGGCCCGACGTACGGATTCGAAAATCGGGACGTAGGGGGGTAATCCAAAAATGAGTTGGGATGTCGAAGCTGGGGTCAAAGGTCAAGAGGTGTAAAAGAAGGTGGAACATTACCTCCTTATAGGGAGGAAATGCAGAATTGCGACACAAATCTAAACGGCTCGACCTAGGCTCGTGATAGTCGGTGCATAGCATCATGGTAGGAAAAGCCATCACTGTGCCGAAATTGGAGGTCACAGGTTAAAGGGCAGTAGGGGAAAGGTCAGATATCAGACATTTTCTGAGGACATGGCCTAACAGACAGAGTGAAAAACCTTTTTGTTTCAGCGCTGACGTACCATTTTGATCACTTTATTGAAAGGACCATAAAATGCGCT